CCTATATCGGGGGAAGATACGATCGAGGTGCACCAGGTATTTACTATCGGCGACCTACCAATGAGAGCTTCTTAAAGTATCCGGTCGTTAGCGCGGCGCTGGCCTCACCTCCAGGATCTGCCATTTGAGGATGTTCCGGACACTCGAGTGGACATATTGATCGGCTGTGATGTACCTGGGGCGAACGGGTTATGGACCAAAGGTTAAGAGGCCGTAGAGATCCCTACGCTGGTCGCACGATGTTTGGTTGGGTACTCTGCAGAGTGCTCGTCAATGATGACAGCTACTCAGCCACAATCAACTATATCTCGCGGCCAGATAATCCCATAGGTGACGACCTGGAGCGGCTATATAACGACCAGTTTGAAGGTATGGCAGATGACTGAGTATCTATGTCGAGAGAAGAAGCCTTAGCTATCGTCACCCAAATGATACGATACAACGGAATCCAGTTTGAAGAGTCGTTGCCCTGGCGGACGGGATCCAATCGACTGCCCGATAACCAAGAGATATCCCTCAGTATGCTCAACTGTGTGAAAGGACGACTGAAAAAGAACACACAGTTAAAGGAAGCCTATTGTAACGCCATGAAACGAAATCTAGAGTTGGGCTTTATCGAACGCGCAGTGGGAGAAGCCGACAAAGAACAACCATTATGATACCGGATTCAGCTTCAAAGCTGGATTCGTGGAACACAATTCAATCTGGTACATACTTTTACAAGTATCGTGACCTAATATCCTGTAAACAGCATGTTTCTCGAATTGTTTTCACTCAATGCTCTCCGTTTTCGTCCGTGGCACATGCTAATCAGGTAGCTGTGTCCACTTTCGCAACCAATTCTTAACAGTACACGGAAAAGTTTCAAAGCTGAATCTGTGGAATTCAAAACTCTGGTACACACTCTCAGAAACATTTTGTTGTCTTACCGCGTTGAAACTCCCCGATATGGTCTTACATCTATATTCACTCCGGCACCCTATCATTTTAGTACAACGTGCTAGGTGTGCACTTATTTTTAGTATTGTTCCGTCGCATGCTCCGTTTCCCCCTTTTCCTCCCCTTTTCAGCTGGGTACTACCCCAGACTGCTGCATATCGCCTCTTTGTTCCAGATTCGGTTGTCTTGGGCCTGCCGAAGGCTTGGGGTCTACACCCACAATGGACACTTTGGCTTCGGCAATGGTTGTTGGGCACGGCTGTTTCTACCGTTTTGACTACATGCGTCCGCGTTCCGGACTAGGTTGAGGTTCACACCCCCTGCCTCACCTACATGGTGTTTTAAGGTTGAGTGTCTAGAGTGTAGTCATTCCCACATCAAAGCGACCAATGCCTAATTAATCTAAATAATCCAAATCACTCCTTGGTCGATTGAAGCTCCGAACCCAATGAACTTCTCTCCAGAAGCGAGTTGTGTTGCAGCATAATGTGAAACATGTTCCTTTACCGACGTATGTTTTCTGGCTGTATTCCTTCCTTTCTATTCTTGTCCTCATGCCTCCACCATCGGGCAGCACTTGTTCCACAGACCTCCTCTCCGTATTTCCCCGCACTGTTGCCGTACGT